ATACCCTAAACCTTACAAAAGAAAATATATAGTCCTAGTATAACTATGAGTGGGGCCCACTCCAATTGGGCGGCAATTCCGAGCCTTTGAGGGCCCGCCGTCCATCGTTCTATTATGTTGCAATAGCAGGGAGGCTCCTTGTTGTGGTATTGCATCCCGCATCCACAAAAGCCCTGTGCCCGAGATTTTAATAGAATTTATGGTTGGATTTACCGTAAATTCAACAAGATGCAAAAAAAAAAAATAGTGCAACTAAATTCATTGCCTGCGTAATCTGAATTTTGCTCCATTTAGACGTAAATCCCAAGTTTACTAAATCCAATGAATCGGAGGATTTAACGAAGTTAAGAAAAGAGGAAGGGGGAGAAAGGTGAGGGTTACCTTCCTCAATGATTTCTTGTAGGAGCAGAGCAGAAAGAGGAGAAAGAGGAGAGATTCAGAGGTCTTTGTAAATGATTGTTACACAAAAAACATCCAATTAGAAAATTAAAAATTTCAAAGATGTTGATTGTATTGGAGAAGCATCAGATTGAAGATCCACCTCAGACTATTGTACTTATGTATGTGAAAAACTAGTTATATGAAGTAGTAAAAAATAAGCTATGATCTCAAGCAATAGTATTAAAGCTAGATATAGGATAATGACACTTGAAATTTATGAAAAATGGGGTTAAAAAGATTGTTAAAAGAATTAAAATATCAAATGAATTTTTGTCTAAAAGTGTGTTGTGACAATTAGGTTTCCATATGCATTTAGAAAATTTTATGCACCAAGATATGATTGAATTCAATAAAATAGATTGAAATTTCATTTAAAAAAAATAGAAAAAAAATGAAAATTGACAAGACCCACTAAATTATGTTCCAACAAAATCGTAACTACAGATATCATCACCAAAGACTTGCCTAGAATAAGTTCTGATAACCTTATTAGATCAACAACCTAGGCAAGGGAAACATTTAATCTAAAGAAAACTTAATAATCAGTGGACAATATCATTCTGTTTCCATTCTAGAAGAATCCAACAATTTGTATATTAATTTTCATGAACAACAATCTAATAAACCATAGACAATAGCATTCGATTTTTTGTTGTGTAGTTAATTTAAGATCCAAGAATTAAAGATTGGCTTTCATATTTATTTGCTCTCTTCATAGGTGTTTCATCACCAATTTAAGTGCAACTTCTCTTTCTTTTTTAAAACAAAAAAAGGAAAAAATAATCATAAAATCTTTTATTTTCCACTCTCCCTTCATTTAATTTTCTAGAACCCACCATTTTATGTTTACATCTACAGCTTTGTATAGTCTTCAAACTTAAAATCATAAGTGATCACGATAAATAATATGAGAATTATTTATAGATCAGGTTTAATCAATTTTTCTTGATAATTTAATCATTTATCAAGCATGCAAAAAATATGACGACAACCAGATGTCATATAGAAGTCCTCCTCAAAGTGATGCTTTACCAATGTACATCATCAATAGAAAAAAATCCAATTCAAGACATCATGGACAACATATACATTTAAATTCAAGCCATTTAAATTCTTTAGAGTATAAAAGCAAAATTATCTTTTAATAAAATTAAATTCACCCATGGAAAATTTTTGAAATTTTTTATTGAAGATAAAGCAATATTAAAAATTTATGAAAATGTGTACGTTATCAGTTTTAATAATGTTAAACAGAATCAATGATTTTGATAAAAAAAATTGAAAACCATATCACCAAAATCTAAATGGGAGAATGAATATATATATATATATATATATATATATCTTAAAGATTAGCTTTCATATTTATTTGCTTTCTTGAAAGGTGTTTCATCAACTATTTAAGTGCAACTACTCTTCTTTTTTAAAACAAAAAAGGTAAAAAATAATCATAAATTTTTTTATTTTCCACTCTCCCTTAATTTAATTTCAAGAACTCCCAACTTTATGTGTACATCTACAGCTTTGTATGGTCGTCAAACTTAAAATCATAAGTGATTATGATAAATAATATGAGAATTACTTATTGATCAGGCTTAATCAATTTTTCTTAATAATTTAATCATTCATCAAGCATGCAAATAATCAACCAGATGTCATATAGATGTCCTCGTCAAAGTGCAGAATTACCAATGTACATCAATAAAAAACAATCCAATGCAAGACATCATGGACAACATATACATTTAAATTCAAGCCATTTTAAATTCTTTAGCGTATGTAAAAAAAATATCTTCTAATAAAATTAAATTCATCCATGGAAAATTTTTGAAAAGTTTCAATGACGATAAAGCAATTTTAGAAATTTATGAAAATGTGTATGCTTTCACTTTTAATAATGCTAAACAGAATCAACGATTTTGATAAAAAAATTGAAAACCATTTCACCAGAATCTAAATGTGGAAATGAGAATATATATATATATATATATGGACATGTCGGTAGAGTAAGAGAAGATTGCAGAAATATTCACGGTGGCTATGATTTTAGAGTGACTAATGAAGAAGGTAGAGCCATTTTAGATTTCGCTTTAGCATAAGATTTTGTTATTACTAATAATTTATTCAAGAAAAGATAGGAGCATCTTATTACTTATAAGAATGAATATTATAAAACACAAATTGATTTTTCTTATGAGAAGATAAGATCGTAGGGATTAATTGTCGAGATTGTAAAGATTGTAAAGTCATTCCAAGCAAGAATTTAAGGAGAATTTAAGTACACACATCGATTATTAGTTCTAGATTTTCAGGTGAAGAGTTGTAAAATAAAAAATACTATGACTCATCATCCTATAATTAGATGAGGGAACCTAAAAGACAAATAAAACTATTTTTTTTAGTAAAATTCAAGATTTTAAAACTTAGGATGTTCATGAGAAACAAATGTTGTGCGATAAAATAACAAACACTATTAAACAAGTAGCAAAAAGATGTACTTGAAGAATCAAAAGAAAAAAATTTCTATAAATAAAAATAGTTGATGGTGGAATAATAATGTGCAAGAAAAGATAAAATATAAGAAGATGTGCTCTATAAATTGGTTTAATATCAAACGGCCCGCAGGGAGTATAAAAGAACAATCTGTGACGCTAAAAATTATGTTTTTAGTGATCTTAAAAATAGATGTATAAACTAACCATACAAAGAGAAAAAAAGTAAAGATTTTACTCAAATAAAGTGTATTAAAGATGAAAATAAAAAAGTGCTTTACTTAGGAAAAGATATTCAACATAGATGAATGAGTTATTTTAATGAACTTTTTAATGAAGTTTCTGAAAATACGATCGACCTTAGTGATCAATACGATCGATCGACCTTAGTGATCTTAATATCGTTAATAATAACAAAACGTTTCACTTTTACCGTCGCATTAGTAAAAAAGAAGTTGACAAGGCTTTAAAGAAAACCAAAGATGGAAAATTTGTAGGACCTGATGATATCCCAATTGAAGTGTGGAAAATTTTAGGAGATTTGGGAGTTTCTTGGCTTACTAAACTCTTTAATATTATTTTAAAAACTAAAAAGATGCTTGAGGAGTGGAGGAAAAGTATTTTGGTCCCCATTTTTAAGAATAAAAAATGTGCACAAGTGTGCAAATTAAAGAGAAATTAAGTTGATGTGTCATACTTTAAAATTATTGGAGAGGGTAACAAAGCATAGTTTAAAACAAATTACGTTCTCATAATCAATTTGGATTTATGTCGGGCAGGTCTACTATGAAAGCTATACATTTATTGAGAGGTTTGATGGAGAAGTTCAGAGATAATAAGGAGAATCTACATTTGATTTTTATTGATTTAGAAAAAGCTTACGATAAGGTTCCAAGAGATATCCTTTGGAGAGTTCTTGAGAAGAAAGGTGTTGATATGACTTATATTCAAGTCATTAAAGATATGTATACTAGAGTTGTTACTTGTGTTCGAACTGAAGGAGGATTGACCAAATATTTTCCTATTTCTGTTGCATTATATCAGAACTCGACTTTATGCCCACATCTCTTTGCTTTAGTTATGGATGGTCTTACTAGACATTTATAGGAGGATATACCTTGTTGTATGTTTTTTGATATAGATGGGGATATAGATGGGGATATTAATAGTAGAATTCAAGTTGGTTGGTTGAAGTGGAGGAATGCTTCGGTCCTTTTGTGTGATGTGATAGAAAAGTTCCGCTTAGACTGAAAGGAAAGTTTTAAAAGATGGTGGTGAAACCTGTAATGCTCTATGGCCCTGAATGTTGGCCTTAAAAGAGGCATAATACTAAGTTAAGTGTTACTGAAATGAAAATGATTAGGTGGATGAGTGACTTTACACTTAGAGACAAAATTAGAGAGAGTCGTCTTGGATGGTTTGGTCACATTAAACGTCGGTCATCTGATGATCCAATTAGGAGAGTAGATGTTTTAGATTTGACTTATGTTAAGAAAGGCAGAGGTAGACTCAGAAAGACTTGCGCTTATTGTATAAAAAATGGCCTTAATTTATTAGAACTAAATGAAAATATGACACTAAATAGGGCGCAATGGAGAAAAAGGATTCATGTAGCCAACCCCACATAGTGGGATTAAGGCTTTGTTGTTGTATAGATATATATAGATATCCGTAGGTGTGTGTGATTTGCATATTACATGCATGTATTTATCTAAGAGGTTGCCTCCTGCAAATGCACAAGAAATAATATAATTTGAACTTAAATTTTTTAAAAATAGGAAAACAACATTAAAAAAGGGAAAACACCAACCATACATTCACATTCAATTTAAATAAATGTAGGCTAGGCTAAAAAATTATCTAAAAAAATTAAAAGTCCAATTTTAAAAAATTATAAGTCTATTATACGTGGAGCACATTCAGAGTTAACAAAGACAGAAAAACATACTATATATCAAATATAATAATTAAATAAATCAGAAATAAGAGATGAATGATTAAATAAATCAGAAACATACGACACAATTTGATATTCAATACAGAAGAAATCATATAGCTTAGCAATACCTTCCATCAGATAAAATTAAACATTTTTCATCAATCTCCTGAACCGCATTGATTGCCTCATTTCTCGTATTGCAGATAACATATGCTTGGCCTATAACATTGGAATAATTTAACACAAAACTAACCGAGATCAGATAAAAGTGAAAAAAAAAAAATGTTGGTTTTTGCAACTTCGCAAAACAAAAATGTTGGTTTTGCAACTTCTTTGCAAAACAAAAAGTAAAAAAGAAAAAAAGGGGGGAAATTTACATATGCAGGCACAATTCTTATGTATTTACATATCTCGCACCTAAACTTTCATATTTACATACATAGAACTCTGGTGATTTAAACCTATGCATGAAAAGGTGCATTTCACTTTTTAAAAAATAGTAACAATGCCTTTTTTTTTCCTATATGATATTAAAAATTCAAGTGCTATGTGCGTAAATATGAAAGTTTAGGTGTGTGATATGTAAATATATAAGAATTGTGTACAATGTATGCAAATGGAACCTGGCAACCTGGGGTACCATAGTGAGGAAAGAAAAAAGAAATAGTACTTATATTAAATTATGTCATCAAATGAGGCGTACCATAGTGAGGATTTTGGAATGTAACCTGGGGTATGATCTTCACGGTGCAATCAATATTCAAGGCTTCACGTAGCAAATCCTACACACAGTAAAATAATTAGAATTCAAGTCATAAAAGAACTAAAGAATTCACAGATAAAAAAATAAGGGAAAATCTGGCTTAGAGTGACACAACAGAGAGACGCCAAACTCCTAGTTTTTAATAATCGCCCATAAAAAAATGTTTTCTTTTGATTAGCAAATGATTGACCACCTAATGCGACCTTCATAACTTGATGATCACACATAGCCTAAAGTTTCCAAGCTCAACCAATAAAATTTGCTTTCGAGCTCTATTTGACAAGATAGTCTAAAAACATTTAGGAGTCTGTTTCCAGAAGAGCATGAGGTCCGAATAGTTCTTTTAACATGAGTCCGTTTCCAGGAGACCATGAGGCCAAATAGTTCTTTTAACATCCTCTCCAATTACGCATGCACTAACAGCTGGATATTCTGAAATTCCCTTTTCAATTTTAGAATGTAGGGCCATTTACATACATACCACCCAATTCGTTTATATTTACATATCTAACACCTAAATTTTAGTTTTTAAATTAATACCACCCAAATCTTTAATATAACATAAAAGATACCACCGTTAACTTTTAAAAAGTGAATTTCATCTTCTCACGCATAGGTAATGCGGCATGCATGTAAAAATTGAAGTTTGTGTTGGATATGTAAATACAAAGGAATTGAGTGGTTGCCATCCAAGTGCTCCTAGTCATCTGCTATTATAAATAAATGTTATTTTCTGTTTAGGGTTAATTTTTTTTGTTGTGGTTTCTGTTTGGACAACCGCCGACGTTCTTCTTTTCCCTTCTAGGGTTATATCCGAAAACGAGTAGTGCTCCATCAATATCTCGCTCCGATGTGGTGATTATTCCGGATTTTCTCATCCCCCACAACCTTTCACCAGCCTTTGTAGCCCTATTTTGTACAGCGGCCCAAGGACAGCAGACAGCGCCTGTGCCCGAACCACCTTGTAAACCCTCTGCCACTCCACCTATTGCTTTGTCATCCCAGCCAACCCCATCTTTTACCCTGCTCCACCGTGTCGTAAACTTTATTCATCCCGTCCCCAATTGCTGTCGTAGCCTATCCCTCCTTTCAACCCTGCTGTCACATTATCTTCCCCTCCCAAATCTGCTGCCACATCTCCCCCTCCTTCCAAACACACACCTCCCTCAGATTGCTTACTGTCCCGCCACCAGACCACTCTTCCCGCGATATCGCTAAGTTTCCCTACGCCCTCCAGCTCTCCGTTCACACCATGTCGACACGTAGCCCAACACCTTCGATCCACACCCTAGAGAAATCACGTGTTTGTTTGTTGTTTATTTCCTGTTTTGACGAGTCATAGTTGTAATTGAATTTCAACAATAATAATTTCATTTCTTTTGTAGTTTGGGTTAACTGCAGTATCACATTCTTTTTAAAATTTATAAGGAATAATAAAATGCAAGGAATCTTCTTATCTTATAAGACAAATACATCTAAATGTATTTTTTTTTACATTGAAGCTCACATTAGAACCCAACTTGTTAATTTCCTTTTGTTTATTATCCGAACAACTTTAAGAAACCTTTGATTTTGATGTCGAGAATCCAACATGGGGCCCGCTTGGTCACAACTTAATTTAGATAATTCTAATTAAGTGAATAGGACATACACAACCCATCAAATAGTTTTGCTTATCCTGAAGTTTAGAATTTCTATATGAATAATAATAATAATGGGAATTTTTATGCACAACACGAAACTCTTATGTACATACATATCTCACACTGAAACTTTCATATTTTCATACATAGAATTTTAGTGCTTCAAGCCTGTGCATGAAAGTTGTATTTGGTAATAGTGATATTTTTAATGTGATATTAATAATTTTAGTGCTAAGTGTGTAAATATGAAAGTTTAGGTGTGAGATATGTAATACATAGAAGTCCAACCCCCATGTAGGACCCACAAATCCACTAATCACGTGCACAAGAGGACGAAAGGGAGGTTTTGTGGGAAAATTTTGAATGTATCTTGGGGAGTATTTATTAGGGCTAATTAAGTAGGATTTGTTTTATGTTATGTTTTCCAACAATTCTTCCCTTTGAAGTTTTGTTCCTAGCAACGTCTAGGATTTGTGGAAAACGATCTATACCTCAAATTGTAGATCAACTTATCTTATTATTTTGCTTAGAAATTAATAAAATTAGTTCGAGTTTGGGTTTTTTCACTTATTTCGAGTCATTTGTTTATTTATTTTTAATCCGACGCGTATCACATTTCTCCTTATTCTCCTTCTAATGCGAATAATTTTAGGTGTGATATATTTTTTACCCTTTTACCAACGAGTATGCTTAAGGTTGAGGTCTATTTGATTATCATCACTGACGAAGTTCACTATTCGAGAAGTCTGTTTAAAATTTGAAGTTTACGAACAAATTCTGCATAAACAACATTGCCTAAAGCGATTATCATCACAAAAAACTATACACATTAACAAATTTGACGACTGGTTATAATTACGCTTTTTTTCTCCACTTCACAAAATAAAAATATATCATTTTCCATAAACCTATCTATCACATTTATTTCAGTTGGCAGGTGTATTTGCTGCAATTTCTATTTCAGCTACATCAACAAAAAGGCAAAAAATATTCATGGCAATTTTCTTTATATTCCCCGAATTGTTTAAGTATTGTAACTGCTCTTGCCTATGAAGCATTCTTTGTTGTCCCCGTGAGGAGCTTCAAGTGGCTATGGAAGATACGACTTCACCCCAGGAAGCGTATGTTTTGGTGGCGGGTGACCATATACTCCCTTCCCACTAATTTTTGCTCAACAAAAGGGGGCTCGTCGAGACTACCAACGGCCCCTTGGTTGTACTTAGGCAGAAGATAGATACGACATTCTCATGGAAATCAGTAGATTTCTTAGAAGTTGACATGCCTTCATTCAAAAGACTTGATGCGACCACTTGTGGCCCATCTAAAGCTGCGGGCCCCAATTTGTGTTGGCCCGCATTTATTGTCGTACGGTTTATCAAAGCCGGTGGGCTCAAAATGCCAAGAACCATGACATGCCAAACAAGACACCGTTAAAGCAGCACTGACAACAATTTCTGCCAAGCCAAACCATCAAACAATTTAAAGACTTATTTTAGGAGCAAAGTTAAAAGAGAAATTTAGTAATTTATTAGTTCTTATTGTTTAGTATAAATAGTTCTTGTTATGTTTAGGATTGCGACGATGAAATTATTGTTTTAAATCTTAGGGTTAAGATTTGAGAGAGATCACCTACCTTTCAAATTATAGGTATTTAAATCCTTTACCAATTCTAGTTGTGTTGTTTGCTTTAGGGAAACAAAATAGGTGATTTTCCCTAATCTCTACGGTGGCTTCAATCAAAGCGGTATCAAAGCAACATATCTTTGGTAAACAAACAATGATTGATGGGATTGATGATTATAGAGTTCCAGATATCGCGATACAACTGGGAAGCTTCGTTGGGATCGCGGCGTGGGATTCAAGCTAGCTGTGACGCCAATGATGCAAACCAAGGGATCGAATCAAACAACACCTCCTTCAAAAGATCGCAACAATTATCGTCTCCTTCACGAAGGTGACGTCGGATCACATGCAGGAATTCCACATCTTGAGTGATCTAGGAAGCAGCTGTCGAAACTAACGCAATCCAGTCACGATAAGCACTAACTAGAAGCAATTGATGAGATTGAAGCCATACAGACTCAATACGATGGTGATTTGAGCCCAGAAAGAGGGTTTGAGGCTTACGGTGAAGTGGTACAGTCACGATTTGAGCTTGATGGGAAGTCTAAGAATCACGGCGTACATGAGATCTGCGCCGCTCATGATCAAAAGTCATGATTAGGATCGCGGCGTAAAGAAGTTCCATGCCGCTCATGATCGAAACTCGCAATCGGGATCTACAACAAACATGAATACTGATTGCGATAGGTCGGCAACAGGATTTCCCGCACTAAACCAACGTGCAGGAATTTGGATCGTGGCTCCTGGGGCTTCTGGAGTTTCGTGTGGCCTTCAATATTCATGTGCCAAACCACATATAGGAATTATAAATCGCAAAGTCCAAAGTTTTGTGCACGCCAAAACCGCAGACAAAATTTCTAAACCTCTCACTTTCAGCTTTTTCAGCTTAAAGGAGTTTTAAAATCGTACAACGAATAATGACGATTTAGAGAAGTAGATGATTTAGAGAAGACAATATGAGGAATAAGTGAGCCAAATCAGGTTAGGAATGGAGTGTTTCTCATTCATGTAAAGGAGATTCATCGCCTTTGAAGAATTCATGAAGAATATCGCAGAATCCCACACAAACTCGCCACTGCTTGCAGTGGGATCGAGCAATGGAATTAGAAGCCGACTCCAAGCAACAACACTTAAAAGGAATAATGTGACATCCAGAAAGCTGGAACGAGCGTTAGCAGGTGAAATAAGACAACGTGTGATTCAGGGCTGGAGAAGATCGATTCGGAGGACTTTAGCCCGACATAGGAAACCACTGTAGGTGGGACCCTGGCCGAGAGTTGCATAAGACAACATTACTGACTTTTGTTACAAAATTTTTTCGGGCGAAAAGAGATTCAAGAGCCTATGAAGACAGGCGAGATGATTATGAGGCGAGTCAAACTTATGGAAGAAGGGAAATCAATCGGAGTCGAGGGAGGGAGACCAACTCCCGTTTCATGGGTGGAATGAACTTCGGGCATGGAAATTACGGAGGAGACTCACACATAAGGAAATTGAGAATTTCGACCTTTAAAGGAGATGATGCCTATGAGTGGGTTTATCGAGTGGAAATATACTTTGATGTTAATGGGTTGATAAAGGAAGGAAAATTAATAGCAATGGCCTTGTTTTTGGAAGGGACTGCTCTAGCTTGGTATTAATGGAAGGAACATACCAGCAAAATAGAACTTGAGAGAAATCAAGGACAAATTATTGGAGACTTTCAGAACCACACAGGAGGGAGATTTATACGAGCACTTTTTTGCACTGGTCC